TTATGTTTTAATAATAATATAAATACTTCCTGGCCGACTGGGAGAAGACATGTTGACTCTTTCAATTCGAACCAGAATTCTCTCTTCTCTCTTTCACCTTTCTTCTTCTACATAACTGATCTCAGGCAGAACTCTAAGGCAGACCCGAATTCTAACAATAAGCTTAATATTATGGGTTGTAATGATCTGTCTGTGTCTACCTCTCAACCTACCCCTTTGAAACTGCTTCAAACTTTGTTTGTACCTCAGCTTACTACAAGTTTAATATCTGTTGATCAACTTGTTGAACATTGTCATACTGTCACAGTGTCACTTTCTCACATGATGGTGGTTTGATAATAGGACCAGCGCACTGAGGAGGTGAAGGGGAAGGAGGATAGACTGGGATGGTTGTTTGATTTGGAATTTGGGAAGATGCCAGCCTCTTCAGCTACTAGTTCTTGTTTATTTTCTACTGTTATTTTGTCTTTTAATAATGACTAAAATATCTGCCACCGACGTTTAGGCCATCCTTTTGCATTAAAACTTGATTCTCTTATATCATCTGGTTGTTTGCCTTTATCAACTTCTGCTTCTAATAAAGTTGATAAAAATTATATGTAGTGTTGTTTAAGTAAAAATCATGTTCTACCATTTGCTATCTCCACTTTTCATGCTCCTACACCTTTTCAATTATTACATAGTGATATTTGGTCATCTCCTGTTATATCCATAATGCAATTTAGATATTTCATTACTTTCATTTTTTATGATAGATAAATAGAACCCTTTATTAATTTAGAAATATTAGTATGTACAAGCAGCCCATGGAGAGGCACGAGCTGCGATCTCTCCACTAAAGAAGAAAACAAAAACAATAAGTTACAGTTGTGCCCAATACAAAAATTCCCTAGCTGCCCCTTGCTTGGCTAGACAATCTGCCATAGCATTTGCTGATCTCCCCACCCATTGTATTCTTTTTTTTTTTGATAGATAATGGTAATTTTATTAATTAAAATAAAAACACATATACATCATAGAACTCTCCACAAAGAGGCATTAGGTGCAGCCTCTAAACTATATCATAAAGCTTACAAGTGAGCCCAAAAAAGCTGATTCCTATGTACTCCTTGTTTGGCTAGGAAATCTGCCAGCCCATTTGCCGATCTTCTTTCCCATTGAACTATGACTGAGATATTTGATATTAGCCACTTAAATCTTCTCAATGCCCCCCTGTAGGGCCAGGCTGCCATCTCCAGTTCTTTTAGTCATCCAATAACCAATTTGGAGTCACCTTCAATCATTAATTGCTCCACTGCCAACTCCTTTGCAATTTCTGCTCCTTGTAGTACAGCTTGGACTTCTGCATTAACTGAATCCCCCACCCCTATAGGACCAGAAAATAGAGCTACAATCTGGTCCTCAGTGTTTCTAAATACTTCCCCAATTCTAGATGACAATTCATTGATGATCATACTTGGTATACTTGGGATATATTTTCTCCACAAAAAGTCATATGCCTTTTCTGTGTTTAAACTTTTTCATGCTAAGGTTACCACGTAGTTCAATGCTATAATCTGTACTTTACATTCGGATTCAGGGGGAGAGTACATGGATGGGGAGTTTCTTACCCATTTGCAGCATCATAGAATACAGACCCAGAGATCCTGTCCTGGCACTCCTCAACAAAATGAAATTGCTGAGTGCAAGAATGGCCACATCATGAGTGTTGTGAGAACCAACCCTCTGGATTCCCATGCTCCCCCCACATTTCGGGTGCAGGCGACCAACACTATTGTACATCTTATCAACCTTCTTCCATCCTCTGTTCTCGGTAACCTATCCCCACATCAGTCCCTTTCTAAAACACCTCCTGACCTTTCTATGCTTCGTGTGTTCGGATGTATTTGCTTTCTATGCCCCCATCCTCATGAGCATACTAAGCTATCTGCTCAGCCTATGTTATGTGCATTTCTAGTACATAGTTCTGGTCATAAAGGATTCATCTGCTATGATCCTAAATCCCATCAGACTAGAATCTCTTGAAAGGTAATTTTTCTTGAAAATATCTCTTTCTTTCAGCATATTATCAAATCTCCTGCTCCTTCAATGTTCATTTTGCAATACTTTGAGCCTTCAGGTCCTTTAGAAGCACCGTCTCTTCTTCAGTTGTTACACCAAACATATTTCCGAAAGTGGGTAGCTGCTCTAGTTCCTATGCTCCCAACCTTTTTGTCTCTTCCAAAGCATGGTTCTTCATCCACTCCAAGCCTTGTAAGTATTCCATCTCCTTATATTACCAGACCTCTTGACCTTACATCATTCTACTAAAGTTTCCAGACCTCCTGATCACTATGGTTCTCCTTCAGACCATAGTTCTTTCTCTGTTGTGTCGTCTGTCATAGATATTCCCAAATCCTACCAGCAAGCCATTGCTCACACACACTAGAGAGATACCATGGACTCTAAGATTGATGCTCTCTTAGAAAATGATACTTGGGTGCTAGTCTCTTCTCCTAATTCTTCAGTCATTGGAAGTCGGTAGGTGTATTCAGTTAAATTGAAGTCTGATGGTAACCTGGACAGATACAAGGCTAGATTGGTTGCACAAGGGTACAAGCAAGAGTATGGAATTGACTATGAAGAGACATTTGCTCCAGTTATCAAGATGACCACAGTTCGTCTTCTCCTTGCTATTTCTTCTGTGAAAGGTTGGGTTATCCATCCGACGGATGTCAAAAATACTTTCCTACATGGAGATTTAAAGGAGACAATTTATATGAAACCCTGATGATCCACATCTTGTTTGCTGACTCAAGAAGTCCCTTTATGGTCTCAAACAGGCTCCCCGGGCCTAGTTTGAGAGATTTAGATCTGTTATTACTGATGTTGGATTCACTCAAAGCCCCTTAGACTACTCTCTTTTCACTAGTTTTCTCCCCAAAATTCTTTTCAAGCAATACACCTTTGTGGAATGCTCTATGACCATACCTTAAGCTCGATTTTCTGTATGTGCACCATTGATTTTATGGTTTTGTTTATCCTTTACAATTTTTTCTTTTTGCATATTAGAAGGATATTATTTCTCAATCCTATATGATGCAAGCTGTAGAATCCTTGCTAAAATATCCATTAGTAACTGCTCATTCTTTCCCAAATTCTTTTGATAATGTAAGAAATGCTAGTTTTTAGATACCAATTAAAGAAAATGAGATTGAAAATCCCCCATTAGAAAGGAAAAAAATGGACAACTTGACAAAATGAGTATAACTTCATGATAATATTAATACAAGAAATAAAGATGGAGTTGTTCAACAGCTATCCAATTAATAATAGGATCAAGGCAGTACCCAGCAAAATTTTCCTTATGAGTAGGGAGTCCAGACATCATAGCATCAAAGACGACCACCACTTTTACCTCTGTAAATTTTTCAATGACAATATGAGGTGGCTATACTAACAAGTTGTTAATAAACTAAGTATTTAATAATAACCTTTTCAATTATGAAGTAATCATTCTAAATTATTAGGAAAAAAATGGAGAAAAGTTTATTGGGGACAACCCAAAAAAACTAAGCGGCATTGAAATTCACATAATCTATGAAATGTGAAAAAAGATTTGGGACCTGTGCAGAAAAATTGTTTCCTATGGCTTAATGGCTTAAAAAATATAAAACACTTCAAGTGTACGGCTATAAGAACAAAAATACCAAGCTGAAACAACAAAACAAGATTTTTAGGGATTTCAGACCTGAACCTGAAGTAGAACTCCTCTTGGAACAGTTCTGCTACAGTAACAATGGCATGAAGCTGGCCTCTCGCGCGGACACACAGCGATAGAGGGATTGGAAGGTGCCGAAATGGGTTGGCTCCTCCAAACCCAAGCTCGCAATACTTAACTCTAGTTGGGACTGAGCTACAACTCAAACAAGAAAGAGGAACCAAAAAGACACATAGAGAAACAGCCCTCTTCTTTTTTATAAAACTCAATGGCTTGCTTGAGAAGCCAATTAAAATATTTATACATAAGCCCATAAAATATTTCCCTTTCATAAAGAACTCCTTAAGAATAAAACTAACTTCAAACAAACCCCCAAAAATAACTTTTGCTACAAAAATACCCAAGAGACCAAAACCCAACTGCCCCTGACCAGAATCTGAATTATAAAATGACGAAAATACCCCTGACCCAAACTATCAACAAAGCTACTCAAAAACAACAATTTGCGATCCTACTACAAAAAAACATACAAATATAAAATACATTCAAATTTCCCTCCTGTTTTCCTTTTTCCTTTTTTTTTGGGCTCATCATTCCCGTCAGGCTAAAAAGAACTCGACCCCATGTGAGCAACAACTATAGAAGCCTTGCACATGTCTCCATATAGCTACATAAATTCTTCTTCACTATCCAAGAGTTCTCAATTGTTGGTTTCCCTTTCCACTTCACCAAGAATCTAAAATAGGCCTCATTTCAAGTGTTGGTGACTCGAACATCTTCTACACCTTCTATTTGTTCAAACTCATTAAAACTATTGGCCTTTTGTGCTTGTCCTTGATCAACCTTTGTTGTTGGTCTAGACCTCCATGACAATCAAAGAAGTCTACAACATTAAAAATGGGCGAAACAGACAAATCAGTTGGTAGTTCAATTTCATATGCATTGTCCCAAGCCATCTCAACACTTGACTAGATCACCCTCATGAAACTCTTTCAATACAACGATGCTTATCCTTAGCTTTTCTTGCTATCTTTCAACTTCCGTCAAACATTTTCTTAAATCTTTCAAATGGATTCAGCTAAAGCCTTGGCATCATCACTCACTGCAACACTATTATTTGAACTAGATCAAAAACACCTTTAGGCAACCAACCATACACAACCTATTGAGAATATGTATTTGGCTTAGGGGTATTGTAGTTATTTCTGTTATTTGTATTTTGGGTGCCCTTATAGGGACATAATTGTAATTTATATCTCCAATATAAAATGGAATGTTTTGGGCGTGAACAGTAGCACACCTTCTTCTCCTATAAACTCTTCTTCTTCTTCTTCTCACACTCTTCAACTTGGTATAAAAGCGGGAAGAAATCTTGGATTACATTTCTTTGTCAACTCCCAAACTCCAGAAGACCTACTAACATCAGACCGCCACCTGATGGCATCAACAATCCATACAGGTACCAGCGGCAACCCTTAAAACAGGTTTACTTCGATGCGCCCTGATTTTAGGGTTTTTTGGTATGGACCTTATCTTCATCTGATGTTCCTACGATTTTCCCCAGATTTTACAATTAGAAATTACAGAAAATTACTAGTTCGATGTTTGGATTTTTTCCTCCTTGTCTGAGTTTGACGCTTCCTTGAAACTTGTGTTTGGTTCGTTTAACGTCCTTGGAGGTATGGGATGGTTCCACAATTTTATAAGCTCTAATCTTTATTCGGCAGGCTTTTTTCCCTCCATATATTGCCGCCAGTTCAGTTTTGGGCCTCCTATTGGCCTCCAAGTGTTTTCCATTTTTGGTGGGTCTTGTGTGTGTCGGTTGGTTGTTGGAGTGTTGTAGAAATGTTAAGAAGCCTATCCAACTCAAATGGGCACGCCTAAGGAGTTACAGACTGTTTCTGGAGTGCTCCTAGGCAATGTCGATGTCTCTAGTGGTATGATAACCACATTGAAACTGATGGAACCATCTTCCTAGAGTGGTCTCAATCATCCAAGCTTACTATAGGTAGGGGTAAGTTGGCATTTATTACTGGTAAAGAAAGAAGGAAAGCCAAAATCTAATGACCCCAAACTTGCTAAATGGGAACAAGATAACTCTTTGGTTATGTCATGGTTAGTGTGTTCAATGCAGCCACATATTGCTCGCAACTACATGTTCCTCTCCACTACCAAGGATATTTGGGATCATGCTACAACCACGTACTCTCAAGAAAAAAATACAGCCCGAGTCTACCTGTCAGAGTCAGATCGAAAAGGACAAAGAGAGAGAGAACAGAGAACACAACAGTTTGGTGGGTGTGTCACTTAGTGACCATCGACACCCTAAGAGAAATATTTATATTAAAGAAAGTAAAAGGACAAATCTGCCCTTAGTGTACAAGAGATAGTGTATAGATAAAATAGATCTACAAAAAATAAGTACAAAAATAGCCATGCGGCTAGTTCTTCTATCTCTACACTCCCCTTCAAACTAATGCCTAGGAATGAGCATCAATTTGTCCATGAGAAATAAGTGTGGGGCCTGAGTCATTGCTTTTGTCAACAGGTTTGCTAGTTGGAGGACGGAAGAGACATGAGGAAGAGAAATGGTACCCTCAAGAAAGAGATTGCGGATAAAGTGGCAATCAACTTCTATATGTTTGGTGCGCTCATGGAAGATTGGGTTGGAGGCAATTTTGATTGCACTACCATTGTTTGCATAGAGAGGAACTAACAGTGATGGCTCATTAAGGATGTCAAGTAGGAGAGCTCGGAGCCATATAATTTCACTGCACACTAAGGACAATGCTCTATATTAAGCTTCAGTGGAAGATGTTGATACAGTAGGTTGTTTCTAGCACTTCCACGAAATAAGAGAGTTGCCTAAGAATACACACCAGCCAGTAGTGGATCGTCAGGTGTCGGGGCATCCAGCCCAATCAACATCTACATAGGCAATAAGGCTAATGGGGGAGATGAAGAGGAGAAGAATATTCCATGTGATAAAGTTCCCCGCACATATCTAATAATTTGATGAACTGCAGATAAATGTGATTGTCTTGGGGAAGACACAAACTGGCTCACCAATTGGATTGCATATGATATATCCAGTTGAGTCATGGCGAAATAGATTAGATTGTCCACTAGTTGACGATAAAGAGTAGGGTAGGGTCTTCAAGGGGAGAACCATCATCCATACTAAGTTTCAAATTTAGTTCCAATGGAGTATCCACAATCTTGGAATCGCTGAGATTGGCCAGTTTAACAAGATCAGCATCATATTTTTGTTGGTTAACAAAATAGCCCCGAGAATTTTGGCTTACTTCAAGGCCCAAAAAATAAGTCTAAAGAAATAGTTGGTTAGCCACGAGTGTAGGGTTCCATACCCACACTCAGGCTCTAGTGAGTGAGGTTTCATACCCACACCTAGTTGTTTCTAATTTCTTTTATTAGTAGTTTCTAAGCCCCAAAAAATAAGTCTAAAGAAATAGTTGGTTAGCCACGAGTGTAGGGTTCCATACCCACACTCAGGCTTTAGTGTGTGAGGTTTCATACCCACACCTAGTTGTTTCTAATTTCTTTTATTAGTAGTTTCTAATTTCTTTTTAGTAGTTTCTAATTTCTGTTATTAGAAGTTTCTAATTTCTGTTAAGTTGGGCTGGCTGGCCTTATTGTTTCTATTTTTTGTTTATTTCCTATTCTTGTAGGATCCTAAAAGCTATAAATAAAGGAGTTATGGGGCAGCAGATCATTCACCACTRAACCCCTTCTTTCTTTTCTCCTCTCTTCACTCTTTTTCTCTCACTCTCTCTTTCTCTTTTCTTCTCTTCAAACCTGTAATACAGTAAACAGTTATTCTTCTTCTTAGTCTTTTTTCCAAAATGTGAAAGTTGTGAACTTGCAAAACATAGTAGATCATCTTATTCTTTAAGTAATAAAAGAAGCAACCTTCCTTTTGAGATTATGCATACCGATGTTTAGGGGCCCTACCATACTCCCACCATGGGCGGGTACAGATATTTCTTATTATTTGTTGATGACTATACCCGTTTTTCATGGGTCTATCTTATGCACTCTCGAGATGAGGTCCCCTCTCTAACCCAAGCTTTCCATTAGATGATCTTAACTCAATTTGAAACCAAGATCACGATTCTTAGATCTGATAATGCAAAGGAATACTTTGCAAAACCCTTGGCATCCTATCTCCTTGATCATGGGATCATTCATCAGAGCACCTATCCTCACACACCTCAGCAAAATGGGGTTGCTGAGAGAAAAAACAGACATATTTTAGAGGTAGCTAGAAGCATCATGCTCAACTCCAATGTTCCCATACGCTTCTGGGGAGATGCAATCCATACAGCCATATACCTCATTAATAGGGTTCCTTCATGGGTCCTAAACATGCAAACCCCGTTCAGTCTTCTACATCCAAATAAGGACCTATTCACTATTCCCTTCGAAACTTTTGGGTGTACTTGTTTTGTTCAAATCCTTGGACTTCATCGCTCCAAGTTTGATCCAAAGCCACTCAGTGTATTTTCCTTGGGTATGCACAAAATCAAAAGGGATATTGCCGTTATGAACCAGTTTCAGGGAAGCGCTTTGTGTCCATAGATGTCACCTTCTTTGAGGATATGCCCTACTATCATAAGGCTTCTCCTCAGGGGAAGAATAGTGAGGAAGGGTTTTCAGTTCCAGCACCAAGAGTTCCTTT